GATATATATATATTATTTTGTAGTATATATATATATATATAGAGAGAGAGAGAGAGAGATATAGATATATATATATATATATATATATATATATATATAACAAACCTCTTGTTTGCTAGTACATTAATCATGAATGAGAAAAAAACTTGATGAAGAAGGGCATAAGGGTCATTTGTCAAGGAATTATGCTAATATCGACGACAATCCAACGCCATTTAGAATTAATCTCAAAAATTCATTTTTTGGGTAAATTTTGTAACTAGGTACGTATTTTTCTTAGGAAACTCGAATTTCAAATCCGTAAACCGGGATATAGCTAATTCTTATAATTAATTTGGGTTCTATTAACATGTTTTAAGCGATTTTATGATGATGCATGCATAAAAATAAATATATATACATACATACATATATGTGTATGTATATATAATGGGGGCCTGGCCCCCCTCACTCACACCCTGGCTTTGTCATCACTAGTGATAAGTTCTTTTTCTCCCTGGTGGCTGAAACACCTGACTTCTTTTTTGTACTTTGGCAAGGAATTGTAATTGTTAATTGTCCTCCCTTTAAATATGTATGAGTTAATTACAAGGGGGGGCCTCTATTTTCAAAACCCCCCTTCAAATTTAAATCAAACAAACCACATACAGCTAAGAAATCACTGTGCTACCGCAGCTATCATTGAGGCATGCATGCTTACATTTATTCCCACACTCTGGATATTATATTATGCTGTCTAAGGGCAGTTTTGTCTTTTCACATGTGGTGTGTCAAAAATGCCCTCGGGTGTTGTCCTGATATGGAAACTATGAGAAGGCTAAGATGGGAATTTCATTAGGGTGGCTAGTGAGGTGTATCCAAGAAGGATAGACTCGGATCGTGTATTGCGTATTTTAATTTGTATAGTTCGTATTGTTTTTCGTTCTAATAATACGTATTCATTAGGGTATATGTGGCACGCGCATGGAAACGGCGATATGTGGAAATAGGGAAACGAAATGTCCCAAAAAATGAGGATATGGGAATTTGGGGGAAACGTGTAAATATAAAACAGAAGTATATTTTGTAAACATGCTACATAAACATATATCTGCGCATTTTATTTCATTTATATTTTTTATATACTTCCATACGAATATATTAAAAAATAAATATTATTATCAACTATATCAATTTGTAATTGATCATTAAATCATGTAAATAATTAGGGAACTAACGAAAGTATTTGGGAATTCGCTATTTAAACATATTTCTAACTTTTTTTAGAAATTACAAAATAGTTCATAAGGTGTCCGGCAGGTGTCCTCGAGTGTCGGACATGAAACATGTCCGAAACGCAAATACGTTGAAAAGTTGAAGTTTTCGTACTACTTAGGTTTATAGTGAACAAAAACGCAATACAAATTTGAGGAAGAGCCAAGAAAAAATGTTGTGTATAAATTGAAATTAAGTTGATTATATTCTAGCAAAGTTGATAATACTACTAAGACCATATATAAGAGAAAATAATATCAAACAAAATTACAAAATGATTTTGAATCATCTACCTCGAATATATATAGATGTGATATTGCATCTCGATCGAGTTTATACATAGAACTTGGAAGATATTGTTGATCTAGATGCATTCAATTACATATACACAACTAAAACAGACGAGTTATAAAATTTATTTACAGAGTTTATTATATTAACGAACAAAAGTTTAGTAAAAAAACATAAGTATTTCAAGTAATTTTACTATGAAGTCAGACAACTTATAAGAAAGCTTATGTATATAGCTTAGTTACACAACTTAAGATGAGTGATACCAAAATTGTATGTGTGTATATGTGTATGTGTGTGTGATTGCCTAAGTGTGTATGTATGTGTGTGTAGTTGTGTGGCAAAGTTTCGATGATGGCAGCGGCGAAGAACGAAGGTGGGGCAAATTGGACGAAACTTGACGGAAACAGTTAAAGTAAACGCGAGGCACGAAGAACAAAAGACTTTCAACAAATTGCAAAAGTCCGAGAACTATATATCCTGATCTAAAAGACAATTAGTGGGAAGGGCTGGTTAGCAAAATTGCAGCATTAAAAAAACCATCAAATCAAGGGTTGCAACAGATACATATACAGGGGATGCTCTTAGACCAGATCAGTAAATAATGAACAGTACCATCACAAAACCAAAAAAGCACATTAATTTTCTTTTTCAGTTATTCCACACTTTCCAATGCTAGTTTTTATATAATTATATATATATGATCACACACACTAAATTTCAATTGTAATAAATAAATAAATAAATAAAAAATATTATTTGCAGGTGCTTTTCTTGGAAAGTACAGGTGAAAATGAATATTAATACCACCACCCCCTACCCCCCTCCTCCAAGTGTCACAAAATGGATCCTGATGCTTTCTTTTCTCAGCCAGCTGCTTGTTTCAAGTGGGACCCACCAAGGCCAGTTTTGGACTG